GCACATTTCTACCTGGTTCGTTAGTTACGGTTCTCAATCCACACACGCTCGCCATTTACTCAGATGAGGTGACGGCACACTAAAAAGAAACACAATTCCTGAATTAGCCTGGATTATATGTACACCTAGATTCTGTACTAGGATTCAGTCCTGAAACTCGAAGCCAATATGGCATGCTTCTTGTATGATCAGTACATACTGGTGTTCTGTCGGATCTGTCAGATCTACCTTGTCACAATTTCCTACAGCAGCATATATTTATAGTGACATCTATCAGTTTTTGCTGCGGCATCTAATATTCCTAGCAGGGGGAGCGACACATCGCTGCAACCTGGAGCCAAATGTTGAGTAGGAGGTGTAATGTGGGAGGAGTTTATGACTGTAATCATATGACCCTATCCCTCATTATAAACCCCTCCTACTCGACACTGCCCCTCCCATTCGAAATTTGGCTCTTTGGGTGTGCCACCCAAGTTAACTCTACAAGTGTAATGTGCTAATGATAGTCTGTAGCTTTTAAACCATAGGAAGAATACTGATACCAATATTTAACCTGTTTAGATGTTATGGTCATAAACCACAGGCAGCATAATCTGATGCCCCCAGATTCACCCATCAGAACATACTACCATCAGTAACCTGTTGAAAAAATACTTCTGAAGTACAGTACATCAAAATATAAAGAAATACTTGGTGCTCTACTGTATTCTCACTGAGCTACTTCAGACTAGTCTTCGAGAAGCATGGAATGGTAGCAAGAATTTATGGGTTTGTATTCACGAAAAACAAATATGCCGTGTGCATGCGCAGTAACTTTTAGTAGGACATTTCGATAGGTAGGAGGTCACTAGTTAACATTAAACTTACTGTGATGCCAACAGAGGCCTACTGTTAGCTAGCAGGTACCTTAACATGGTTAAAATGCTGAAATCTAAACTAATCTAAAGTGTGGCTGTATTTCACTTAAGAGGATTCTGACACCAGAATGTTGTTAGGTAAATTTGTTATGTGTTCTGTATTTATTTATATATTTAACCCTTGTGGATGTACAGGGGGGTAGTGCCAAGTTTTGGGGCCGGGACACAGAGTGCGGGCCTCCTTGAAACCTCTACCACCCTCGTTTCCCCCTTGGCCCCCAAAGACCCCTCCCAAGAAAATAAGTTGAGCAAAAAAATATATAATGTATTTACTATTTTATATTTAATAATTTGGTTAGTTGTTATGCATTGTTATGTATTACATGACAGTAGCTAAAAAAAGCCAGACTTTCCTGAAAAAGTCAGACTCAAACTAACGCCATCTCTAAACTTAGCCTCATGTCGTTCCACTATCGCAGTTAAGATGGAGCTGTATGAAGAATACAAAGATGTAATCGCAAAAAAAGGTAATACTGTGGCCATAAATAAAGCCAGGAAGTTGGCTTGGCAAAGAATTGCAGACAGACTAAATGCGTAAATTGTGTAAATGTTATAAATGCTGAATACAGTAACACAGTGGCACAGTGGTTTATGCTGTCGCCTTACACCGCAAAAGTTCCTGGTTCGATTCCCGTAGCCAACAGAGAACCTTCTGGGTTAAGTTCACGTGTTATTCTTATTGTATAATGTTATTCTGTATTATTTGATCTCCGTAAAATATTTTCAAGCATATCCCCGTGAAATGTTTTACACAAATAATCATATCTTGTTTTTGCTTTTTACTAATAAACTTTTAAAGTAGACTATGACTGTGAATATAAATATATCTTACTTTTCATATTATTCTGATTTTTTTTTCAATTTCAGTCATTGCATTTGGCATCGGCACCCTTCCTGACAATTAGCAGAAAGTATTGTATAAAACAAATGATACCTAAAATGGTTTGAATGATTTGTTCAGGCATTTTGGGAACCAAAAGACTTTTAACACATTTTGCAAACACACAACATATTATTGAGCCTCTTCCTGTACAGCTTGTTAAGCTTAGAATGTACCTCTCCTCCAAGCAGAATATCTCAAAACCCTTGATAATCTTACATTTGTGCTTGAGGGCTGCCGTCTTCAAATCAGATCACAGGTCCTCAATAGATGGCCATGGGAACACACTGATATTATACATATTTCCATACATATGATGCATATATGTGATATATATGATATTTTATTATATATAATA